AAAAAGAAAAAGAAAAACTGTAGGGATGTTCAGTAACGATTCAGGGAAAAGAGAAACAGATATGGACCTCATTTCCTCATAACTGTCAGACTCTGAACCTTACCTGGCTGGTCCAGACCTGGGTTCCCGGGCCTGCCTTCCTTTTCTATCATGGGTACAGTGCACACTGTGGATTCACTGTGCAGACACCGCTTGGTTCCCTTCTTTTTCAGGATCCTGTCTTGTCCATCTGACATGCCTGCATCACCCCCACCCCCAAACATGAAGAAAATGTATTTGTCTCTAAACAGCTTGGCAAGAGCAGACGGTCCCCCACATTTAGTCTCTACCTTGCTCAACATCTTCTGCTCATTTTCAAGCTAGTGAGTTCACTCAGTAGTTCCAAGTTCCCCAACCATTTTGATTTTTTTTTTCCTCCCTGGTTCTTTTCTTTTTAAGGTTCTCTTCAGAACCCACCTTCTCCACAAAGTTGTCCTTCCTGGCTAAAAATTTAAAACCTTGCAACTTAACCTAGTATTTTGTAAAACACAACATTAGGGGCCACCAGGCACAGTACATGTCTGTAATCCCATAATTCTGGGAGGCTGAAGCAGGAAGTTAACAGATTGGAGCCCAACCTGGAGCAATTTTAGTGTCTTAGAGATCTTGTCTCAAAATTTTCAAAAGCGCTGGGAATGTACCTCAGCACAAAGGCCCTCAGTTCAATCTCTAATACAGCAATAATTAAAGAACTAAAATGAAGCTACAGCTTCCTTCCTAACGCTAGTCTTGCCTGTATTTTCAGGCCGAAAGCTGAAACAATCAGTGAGGTCCAACTACTCGCAGATCCCCTGACACCTTCTGCCTCCATCCGCCTGCACTGTGCAACATGTCCATTTCCAGGTGGCCTGCTTACCTTTCAGTTTGGGGTTTTTGGTCTTCATCTTGGCTGACTTGGGACCAGGCAAAGTTGGGTCCTGCAGATGGGAGAGAAATTTTTTTAAAAGATAAGCTGAGTCACATAACTATATTTAATATAGAAAGATACTATAAAACAGTGAGTAGGCTGATTCCTGAAAGGGGTCATCTATGAGCCTGACATTGTCTACATGTGTGGCAACACAAAATGTGTGGTGACCTTCCCCTTCCACTTAGTATTAGTCAATGCAAGGCTTAATGCATAGAAGAAAAGTAGGCCACAAGCATAACAAACTAAATAAATAAAAAGGGAAAATAAAGTATCTGTATTTCATATTCCTATAAAAGAGATGTAAAGAAAATGAGTGACTGAATATCCTAAGTGTCCACATGAGGGCAAAAACTGTAGAGAGAAGGAATCTACTGTTCTCTGAAATTGCCCCAGGTAGAAACAAAGAAATACATTAGAAACTGAGATCACAATCAGGAACTTCTGAGAAAGATGAGAAGTTCAGAGAATGGGGAAGAAAGAGGAGAATCTCCTTCCCTAGAGACCCCTAAGAGATCACTTGTTGGGGCACCCCAGGTAAGCATGGGGTGGCTCAAAGTAAATGTAAATCCATGCCAGCCAGATCCTTACAGGAACTTCCTATAATGAACCCCACGATCTTAATCTAAACTAACATTTAAAGTTAATCTTACTTTTTTCTCTTTCTCCTCCACCTCTAACTCATTGTCTTCTTTCTCCACGTTGGACTCAGGGCTGTTAGCCCCAGGCAGCATTAAGTCTAGAACAGAGAAAGGAAAGACTGATTTATCCCAAGTAGTTGATGTGTTAATGGAACAAATTCCAGAGAATTAATCTTCTAATTCTACATTCTGTGTCCAAATAGGATTTTTCCAAAACATGTTCCCAGATTATCACGGCTCCACCCTTTTCAAAGTCCATCACTACCTACACACCCCACCCTCTCTTCTCACCCTTTCCTCCCATTCCCATTTCCGCCCATGTACCCATCCATCTTGAACACTGGGTCAACGACATTCATAAAATCCTCTTATTATAGAACCCAGAACTAGGCTGATGACATAGACTATAAAGTAAACTTGGACTGTTCCTTCATGGAAGAACCCCTCCCATCCCTGTCCAGACTTCATCCTCTACCTCTACCTTGTTTTTCTTCATTGCTGTCAGATCCACAGTATCGGTTCCAGAAGCCAAATAAGTTAACCCGATCCTGAGGGAACCAAGAAATAAAAAGCATCATCCACTATTCTCCCAGGAGCAGCCTGCCCTGTCCTCTAGACTTTAGTTATAATAAAAATCTGTATTCATTTTCCACACCATTTTCATTTGAAATATCACATTCACTTTATCTGCACTTTTGCAGAATAGTTACAATCTTTTTCCAGTTTAATCATAATTCAACAAAAAAGTGGGAAAATGAAATTCACAAGTTCGTCATTCTCCTTCCCTGCCTCACATCCTAGTGGAAGAAACTGAGTGCAAAAAAAAAAAAAGAAAGAAAGAAAGAAAGAAAGAAAGAAAGAAAGAAAGAAAGAAAGAAGCTGAGTGCAAAACTGAGTAACAGAGAAGGCAGGGTGGATATACCTGAGACTTGAAGTTAAACAGATTAGGTAAGAGGTCCCCTATCACAGTGCTTGAGCCAAGAGAAGAGAAGATCCCCCTTGATCAAGGGCAGGGGAAGGAATGGGGAACTTAAGGAATAGTCAAGGGAATCTGGAGGAATCTGGAAGAGACTGCACACTCGGGTGTGGTGGTTCATGCCTGTAATCCCAGAACTCGGGAGGCTGAGGCAGGAGGATCCCTTTGAGTTCAAGGCCAGCCTGAACTGCACAGTGAAATCCTCTCAAAAAGATGAAAACTAAGATAAATAATATAAAATAAAAACAAAAATTCGACCGCACAGTGGGGAAGTACAATCAGCTTTTTTACAGGGGACAGGGTACAGTGTGTTTTGTGTCCAAGTCCTAAAGAGGAATAGGTATGTGATCTGAACACTCTGCCACCTCAATGTCGGTCTGCTCTGCTTTATGAGCCATCATTACGGCTACTTCCAGTTTCTGAATGTAGTCCTTGTTCCTGCACTTTTTCTGAAATGGAGGAAGGTTAGAGTCAATGATAAATACTGGTTTAAAGGTTAGTCAATAATAAATACTAAATAAATAAATACTAGAGAAATGACTCCAAAATCCTGCCACCCACTGGACAATATCTTAACTACATTTGTTCCCAGGTCCTGGTAGACAGGATCCTCTTAATCATTTGGGCTTAGACACAGCACTCCACTTTTCCCTAATAAATCTCTCACCAATTCCTAGAAAAATTTTCAACCAACATTTAGGTGTCCTTTCTAAAACAAATCCAGTGAGAAACTGAGAAAAAAATAAAAAGAGACTGAAAGAGTTCAGGTAACTCCATATTTTTTAAAGTTTCTTTAGATCCAGCTGCCTGATGTCATCTTTACTGTTTAATTTTCTAAGGCTCTGAAACTGCTGGGTCTCTTTGCTCATTTTAAAGCTAGTCAAAACCAAAGTGACTGCAGAGAGGAAATATGATTTAGTTCCAATGCATCTGGAAATGTCTGGAGACAATTTTTGGTTGTCACAACTAGGAGCAGGGTATGGCGAATAAGGGTAGGAGATGGCACTGACAAGATGCCAGCAAAGCCCAAGGAAGCTGTTAAAAATCCTGTAATAAAACTGGACATGGGGGAGATAGCTTAGTGGAATAAGTGCTTGTCTGGCAAGCGCAAGGTCCTGAGTTCAATCCCCACCACCGCAAAAAAAAAAAAAAAAAGAAAAAGAAAAAGAAAGCAAGCTGTAGTCATCATGTACTAGTAATTCATTTATATGGGGCCAGGGAGATGGCTCAGTGGAATATGCACTTCCCTGGCAAGCTCAAGAGCCTGAGTTCAAACTCAGGTTCTACCAAAATCAATCAATCAATCAATCAATCAATCAATCAATCAATCAATCAATATGAGCATGATGGCACATGCCTATACTATCAGTACTAAGGAAGCTGAGGCAGGAGGATCACTGCAAGTTTAAAGCCAGCTTGGGCTACACAGTGAGCTAAAGGCCAGCCTGAATTACATAGCAAGACCCTGTCTCAAAAAAAAAAAAAAAAAAAAAAAAAAAAAAAAAGAATCCCATAATGCACAGGACAGTACTCCACGACAAATGTTTTTCCAAAATGTTTACAGTGCTAAGACAGAAATTTTAACTTTATCTGGTCCCTTGCATCTGCTACTTCTGTTTTGGCTCAACTGTAGAAAACCTCCATCTTTTTTTTTGAAAACCTCAATCTTTAAAAGCACCCTTTTTAAAGCTTTGCAAATGAGGGGAAGAGGCACTGAAGGGGCGGGGAGGGGATTGGGGAAAATAGAAGACTCAAGATATATAAGCACAGGTACACGTTCTCTATGATGAATGTGAATGTTATCATTATGTATATCTAAAGTATACTAATAAAATTAATTTTAAAAAGCCCCACTATCTGCACTTTGGGTAGGATGACTGAAATCATGGCCTCACTGCCCCTCATGATAACTCAGCCCTGGGACACTGGGTCAGACACAGCACTTTCACCCAACAGTTCCCCTTGGAAGTAGACTGGGTTTAATAGAGAGGATATTCCATTTTCCAAGTCCCTGTAACACCACAGACTCTCAAGGTTTTCTCACCACTCCTGTTTGCTCCAGGGACAGCTCTTGGAAATTCTTTAGCATGTTCACTGGAATCCAAGCACGAGAAACTGTTTCTCCAAAAAATGTCACATGGTACTTAGACTGCAATAAAAGATACAATCGTGTATGGCTCCTGTCCTTCCCCTGCTTTTCTCCTCTTGCCAGAAAAGGAGGAAGACAGGGTGAACCATAAGGAAAGTGTTTGGTCTCATATGCTCCCTCAAGCCTGACTCACCTCACATCATTTCATTGTTCTTCCATTCTGATCTGAGGAATCCTAGCCAATTATCAAAATCATAAATGTCCTACTAGGGGGCCTGGGCCTAGCTCAGTCCTTTAAGTGGCTGCTTCCACAAAGCTGTCAGCCTCAGGTTCCTGGAGTTCGAACCTCACAACTCTCCCGCTGGCCAAAAGTGCCCTGAAGGCATTCGAGGAAGAAAAAAAAAAAAAAAAACCCTTATTCCATAAATGTCCTACTAATGGATATTCAATTAGATTCAAGTTCTATGTGTGAGTACTTACCTCCATGTTTGTCACTCTAGATAAGTGTCTATTTCCACTTTTGTCTGCTGACTAGGTCTATGTTTCTAATTCTAAATATCTCTTAGAATGAATGTGTACATTACTCTTGCCTGAAGTAGGAAACTCACCGGAAGAGAATCAAAATGAGATGCAAAAAGAAAATACTCCTCCAAGTCAGGATCAGATTCTACCATGCCTGGCCACCTAGAGAGAATAGTTGGGCAAAGAAGATAAAGAGGAACTGGATGAACAGAATACAACCTCATTAATACACACATACAAAAAAGGGCAGCATATCCTGTGAATAAAAGATCCAAAACATGTACCCCACCCAGGTTATAGTCCCTTCAAGAGGCCACTACCAAATGATTACAGTGACTTCCATCAATCCACACTCTTTCCTTTGCATGCCTCCCACATCTCGATTTTGTGATACCTTAGAGGCCACCTCTTCTTTTCCTACCCAATTACAGCAGCACTATCAGATCCTCTTTTCCAGAGAGATAGCACCCCACTCTAAAACCTCCAGAAAACATGCTTTATAAAGCCACAAGGGCCAGCCACATATCTCAGTGGACTAAAGTGTCCACTCTGTCAGAGCACAGCAGTCAGGGTTTGATCCCCACTGTACTGTGCCAGCCCCATTCCTGGGGTGCGCTGAGACAGAGATTGAGACTGTGCGTAGTAGCACATGCCTGTAATCCCAGAATTTGGGAGGCTGAAAACAGGAGAATCACTACAAGTCCAATCTATGTAGTGAGACCCTATATACCCTGTAGATCCTGTCCTAAAGTCATAAAAAATAAATTAAATAAAGCCTCAGAGCTAACTCCCGTGCCCCCTTTTTTTTCTTTTTTTTGTTTTTGAGACAGGGTCTCGCTATGCAGTTCAGGCTGGCATTGAACTCACTCACTTTGCAGCCCAGGCCATCCTTGAATATGGAACAATCCTTCTGCCTCAGCCTCCCAAGTGCTGAGATTACAATTGTACATCACACACCCAGGCCCCACGTTCTTTTTAAAGGAAGTACCATTACTACTGCTTTCCATTTCCTTCCCTCCCTCCTTGAATCCATCATTCCCAAGTTCAGAAAGAATGCTCCAACTGTGTCATGGTTCCCTACCATGGGTAACCGTATTGCTTGGCCCAGATGATGCATCCTGGGATATAGGAGGCATAGACCACTTCACTCTCATTCCCTGTCCAGGTCTCCTCAGGAATATCACAGCAATTATAATCCAAGTCTGCCAAAATAGAGAAAGAATAAAGATACCTACAAGTAAACATCTAGATGCAGACTGGAAGAGGACAAAAAGTAGCACACAGGTAACAGGTGGCACCAAAGGTCATGTGGGGAAGAATACACCCAGGGAGGAAATGCAGAAGCAGGAGCACTGCCTCCTAATACTTCACAGAGATTCCGACCTCTTGCTTACACCTCATGGTGTGACTTTGTTTCCAACTGGAGCAGAATGGGGGTAATTTATATGAAACTGATTTCTCATCTGTAAAATAAATAAGCTGGATAAGATTATCATAGTGTCTTCCAAGTGAATTTAAACACTATAATTTTAAGCTCACTGGGTTTTTTTCACGTGCTTCTCCTCCTCTATCTTATATCTCCTCCCTGTCCACCAACCCAATACTAATATTTTAATCAGGTTTGACAAATCAGACCAGTTTTGAAGAAAATGGAATTTACTTAGTACTGTACATATATTCAGACTCCAGGCCCCTCCCCATAACACAACTCTGCAGGGTGTCTTTTTTCAGCCCTTATGCCCAGATTCATCTTCTACAGGACAGGAAGATTGTTCCTTTTCTCCCAGTCATTACAAGGGCCCCTTGAGTGCTAACTACACTTATATCATATTTATCTAAAGAATCCATGCAGAAGAGAAAAAGAGGAACAATAAAAACAAAAAAATTACCATTCCTTTTTACCTGTATTCTGGTGACAGAACCAATTATCTGGGAGAACCGAGGGGTCAATGTTCCTACACAGCCGCCTCCATTTTCTACAGTTTGGAGAGGAACACTGAACCCAGACTACACAATGACCTATGACAGGAAGAAAACTGAAATAAGAGACTAAAACATGCTCTTCTTTCTTCAGTGCCACCAAAATCATTATAACTTTCTCACTTACCCCAGAATCACATCTCCATACAGACTTTACTTATCAACTAGACATTCTCTGAATTAAAAATAACAAAAGCAAGGCTCAAATAATGACTTGCTCAGCAGTCCAACCTGGTGACAGAGCTGACCTTAGAATTTAAATCACACATCTTGACCTTTCCTCTACATTAGGCTGAAAGGACTATTTCCTGTATTAACAGTCATTAAATTTAAAAGGTGCCTTAGGGTCGAGGATTTAGCTCAGTGGCAGAGCATGTGCTTAGCACACGTGCCATCCGGAGCTCCACCCTCAGTGTGAAAACAAAAACTCCTGGCAACTTTCCAGATAGTGCCTTGATCATTCTGAAGACATGGTACTGCTGAGAAGCTATTTTGAAAAGATAACAAGAATCTTGTTTTTTTTGGCAGAATGGGGATCAAACTCAGGCCCTTGTGCTTGCCAGGGAAGCGCTTATCCTACTAAGCCATTTCCCCGGTCCCAAGAATCTTGTTTGTTGGGCTGGCCAAATAGCTCAGCGGATTAAAGCACCTGCAAGCAGGCTCAGGGGCAGGGGCTTCAATCCCAGGGCCTGCCGTGCTAGCCCCGCCCCCAGGGTGTGCTAAGACCGCAATTAAGACTGGGCATGGTGGCATGCGCCTGTAATCCTTGCTCTTGGGAGGCTGTAAACATGGGGATCACTACAAGTTCAATCTAGTGATGAAACTCTCAACATCCTGTACACCCTTCCCTAAAATTAAAAACAAAACAAAACAAAACAAAAAAAAACACCTTGTTTTTGCACAACATTCATAGTTCTCACCAGAATCTCAACTATTTACCTATTCCTAAAGTTGCAACCTCTAGGACCAACACCCCTGGTCATCTCCCTCTAAAACAACCTAAATTTAAGTCTAGCATCTCTCCACCAACCATTCACTTTGAGCCTTACTCAAAGAAAAGCCTTCCTTTTATCCACTATTCTCTTTTTTTTTTTAGTATTTCTTAAAATATGTATGTATGTATGTATTTTATTTTATTTATTTATTTATTTATTTGGTACAGGGTCTCGCTACACAGCTCAGACTCATAGTGATCCTATCTCAGCCTCCCTAGCACTGGAATTACAGGCATGCACCACCATGGCATGGCACGGCACACCTGGAGTCTGTGGCCAGCATGGCATGTGGTACTGGGGATTGAACCGAGGTCCTTGTGCTCACCAGGCAGGTGCTTAGATGGCCAAGCTATCCCTCCCCAGCATATAGAGTATCTTCTAAGCCTCCATATCTCTGTACTCCCACATCTTCTAAACTGACCCTGTGTCCCATACAGCTTTTCCTCTCTCCCTTTCGTATTCTTCCAATGCATTCTGTAAAGATCTATAGACTTGAATAATGAACTTCTACACATTCTCAACCTCTTCTCTGAAAGTCTATCTCCTTCTAGAAGCCTGAAAATCCACAAATGACACTGTTCCACCCAACCCCACCTCAGCCCCTAAGTGGAGTCTGCTACTTTTCATGCCCCCACATCTCTCAGAATAGAAGTGGGGCCACATCATCCTTACTCCCACTGTCTCTACTCCTTTCCTCTTATAAAAACTCTTACCCTTGGGATCCATGCCATGGGACTCTACCACCCTTGTGTCTCCCTCATAAAGATGGTAGCATCCAGCTCAGTTTCCTCCTCCTTTCTACCACCAGCCTTTGATCTAGATGATGACCACATCCACAAAAACAACGCATACAGCACCTATTCTCTCGGTTCTGTAAACTTTTCCTCCCCATCACCTCAGGAACCCTCTCTCACACTCATGTACCCAACTAATCTTCTGCGGGAACCCACACCCACTGCACCACTTACCCAAACATCCTGACAAAGATGCCTTGTCCTCCTACCTCATCTGTTCAAAAGCTGCCCCACAACTTTCCTTTTTTTTATTTTAAAGAGAAAAAAAAAAAAAAGAAAACAAGGACAAAGATAAAAACAAAGCAACATAAAATAAAAACAATATGCTAGTTCAAAACAGGAACAGAAAATTAATAGTTAAACTACACATTTATTTTTTTTCCAAAACTGATTGATAGAATAGTTCCAATAATTAATATATTGTACACTGTTATCTTCCTAGTGGTTATCCATAGTACAAAATGCAAACAGGATATCCTGTCCAAACACTATTAGTACAAATCTTTCTTCTCATTGAGTTAAGTCAAAGTAGCTGTATATCTATCCTAACTATTCTGCATATACAGATACAAAATGGTCCTTCCTTTGTATCCCCTTTTTTTGTTTAGTCCTGTCAGAAAATGGGTATTCCATTGGCATCTAAATACTACAGGTGCATGAATTCATCAAAACAATCCAACACAGTCCAGTAGTCCACAATAGTAGAGGGTTATCCACAGAAGTTATTGACTGGAGCCTTTCACAGCTCAGCATATTAATATGGTTTTACTTTATATACCTCATTTTTATACTTTTCTGCTGGATGGTTAAGACCAAGACAAAACAAGACCTATAAAACAAGAAATATAATTTTTGTATCTGATAAGGTCAGTCAAGTACCCTCAGGATTTATCCTGTAACCCTGTACCACAGTTTACAGATCCTTTGTCAGTGTCAGCCATGTGGATGAATCACGGCCATTGCTTGACCAATTTGCTCTCTGTGAAAGCCTGAGAAAATGTTTTCTCTCCAGGTGACTCTCCTTAGGAACACTCTACATCATCGATCACACTGCTCTGTGGCCCCATAATCTCCTTGATCAGAAAATTTGGGACACAACTGAATTAAATTGTGTTACAGTATAGGTTCTCCTATGTCCTGAGTCTTCACTGACCTTGAAAGGCTAAGGTCAAAATGTTGGCTGTCCTTGCAGCCCTTCTATTTCTCTAATTTTTGATCTGCAAACTTAGGTTGTTAACCCTCCAGAAGAGAAGTTCATTATTACCCTACAACATATGCAGTT